GAGGACAATGTGGCTTATGTATGGCTGGATTTCAGATAGGTCCTGGTTATTTACTTGCTAATAGTGTCAGAGTACCCAGGTTTCTCTGGGTGTTGTTTCCTCAGGACAGGGTGTCTCTAGCCTTGATACAAAGAGAATATGAGTGTGTTGACTGAAAAGCTGATATGTATTCAAGAGAGGGTTTATTGATATGATGTCTGGTATTGATGTTAAAGATCAAGTTCATGTATTAGAGGAAAGCTTTTAGGTTTTTCCTTGTCTTTAGAAAACGTTTTTATAATTAGCAATTATATGTTGACAGTTTAATTTTCTCCTTCCTGAGAATTCACTGAGTGATTACAAATGATCTTTGAAAGTTGTTTAAGCTAGATTTAAATCTTAAAATGAAGACAGGTTCATTTATTTTAATAAAATAAAAATGTGGTTTTTTTGTTCCTTTGTTTATATAATAGTGATCTGGTTCACCAAAAGTGTTTGACTTAATTTTGTGATATGGATACTAAAATCTTAAGGCAAGAACAAAGTGGTCAGACTACATATGAAGATGTAATTTCTGGACTAGAACTCTCAAGATTTCTAATACTTATCTTTCATGTCAGTAAGAGAAATACATGTTTTTCTTTCGTCTTTCTTTAAAACCAGAGCTTTAGGAAGCTGATTGTCAGGAAGAGGTAGGCTTTATCTCAGGAATGAGGCCTGTGCTAATGCAGATAGAAGAAATTAATATTTGCCTTTAAGAACAAGTCTTTGGGGGAAGTTGGCCTGTGGAGCTTCTTTTTTTAAAACAATAAATGTTTGCATTTTAGTTTCCTTCCTGCCTTCCTTCCTTCCTTCATTTCTTCCTTCCTTTGGAAAAAAACTCTGCTTTGGGACAATGATTATAAAAATCTATACTGTGACCTGAAAGAAAATAGAGTGTGGAGTGTTTATCTTAAATTCATTTCAGTATGAGATTCTGACTCCATAAATATTATATCCTTAAAAAAGGAATTTATGTGCATAATAAGTAGCCCAGTTAGTTCTGGCCCTGATTTTTTATTTTTGTTTTGTTTGAGTTGGGGAAGAGGTTCTTTCTATGTGGCCAAGGCCGGTCTCCAACTCATGAGCTCAAGGGAGCCTCCTGCCTCAGTCTCCCAAGTAGCTGGGACTATAGGTTTGTGTTACTGCAATTGGCTGGCCCATGATATTTATTCTTTTATTTTCCCTTACTTATAGATTCTCCATCAGACTGTGGGGTGGGATAAGGATAACTTTTTCTTTCTGATAAGTGTCAGTGACACCTGAGGGTAGGATAAAGGAAATCCAGAACCAAATTGGAAAATCAGATTGAAAAATAATAGAGCTTTTGTTTAAAGTGTTAAAATAGAAAATATTATTCTCATAAGCTACTCTCTCCAATTTATTTAGTGTGGTAAAATACTCATAATTTACCATCTTATTTTTAAGTATACAGTTCCGTGGTATTAAATACCTTCATAATGTTATGTAATCGTCACCACTGTCTAGCTCTATAACTCTCTGCCTTGTAAAATTGAAACTCTGTGCCCATTAAACAATTATTTTTTACTCCAACCTCTGGTACCCACCATTCTACTTTCCTTCCTAAGCTTCTTAAAGAGACCCTGTTCAGATATAGTCAGTAGTGATAAAAGTATTTTGTTATATTACATGTAGTTAACAGACACATCACAAGAAATATTAGCTCCAAAACTAGAGAGACAAAAAAAAAGAGGAAAAAGAATTTACAAATTGAAAGTTTTGAAGAGAGTTGTAAAAGAGAGACGTGCAAAGAATGTTCTTCAAATATGTATGTTGTCTTAGCTTTCTGTTGCTGTAACAAATATTGAGCAAAATCAACTTAAAAGGAGGAAGGGTTTATTTTGGCTCATAGTGTTGGAGGTTTCAGTCCATGGTCACTTGTCCCTGTTGTCTTGAGGCTATGGAAAGGCAGTACATTGTGGTGGGAAGTGCATGACGGAGGAAACTGCTCACTTCTTGGTGTCTGAGAAGCAAAGAGAGACAGGAAGGGACTGAGTTCCAATTTTCCCACCAAGGGCATTTCTCCACAGACTTAACTTCCTTCCACTAGGTCCTAACTCCTAAAGGTTCCATCCATCCAAAGAGCAACACATGCTGGGGATCGACCCCTCAGCACATGGCCCTTGGAGAACATTCAAGATCCAAACTAAAGCATGTTTGCTGCCTATCATTTACATTCACACCTGTTTCTCTTCCAGCCCTTAAAGATGGTTTCCATTTTAAGAATCCAAGTTCAGGTACTTCTCCAATAAGTGTTTGACTTCAGTTTTATCATGTGATCACAATTGGTCATTAAAACTATTATAAGTATATTTGGCAAACTAACCAGAGTACTTGCCAAAACCTTGAAAGGTTATGATTAACTCAAAGTTCAGCCAATAAATAAGTAAATTCCTTAAATATCTGCCTGATCGTTTCTTTAGTGTTCCCCCCCCCTTTCATGAACTCCATAAAAACTTAAATTAGAGGGCTGGGTTTATGGCTCAGCGGTAGAGCACTTGCCTAGCACGTGGGAGGCCCTGGGTTCAATCCTCAGCACCAATAAAAACAAATAAATAAATAAATAAATAAATAAATCAAAAAGTATTTTAAAAAAGAAGAGCACTAATCTTATTCCTAAAGGCTCTATTTAAAAAAAATTAAATTAGAATAAATCTACTGACCATGCAATTTGTTAACAAGCTGCCAAGAGACTAAAAAATAGTTTTAAATTGTTGAACGTATTTTTTTTTATGCATTGAGTGGCTTTGTCTATATATGATTATGAAGTTTTTGTTACTTTCTTGGGAATGCATTCAATGCTGTATGTTAATTTGTAGCATAAAGGAAGGTCTGTTCTTTCATATCGTAAAGCTTTGCTAAAAAACAAATTCTACTTAGAAATCTTAAAACTACAGCTTTTGGGTTGTTTTTTAATAATAACAAGCATAAACAGGGATGACACTTGGCACTTGACCCATGGACAGCATGAAACTAAGCCAAGGATTAGAAATTATCCACTCCCTATTGGGTGACCTATGACCATTGAATCTATTGCAACTGTGCTGGTGTGACATACTTGAGAACAAAGTGATTCCTCATGCTTGTTGGTGAGATGAGAGTGATGATAGTATTAGCCATTTAGATCTCTGATCAAGCATTGTAGTACTTTTCATTCACAAAAGTGCTGTATAATATTTTACTTTCATTATTTTCCTCCCAAACCCAGTTACATTATATATTTCAATCACTTTGTATATGATCAATTAAGAAGTTTTTCTTTAATTATATTGGCCAAATAGTGGTATTTTAATTCTGTACAGTCTCACCTGTTTTTTTTAAAACAAAAACCTTAAATTCTAAGCAGTTATATAGTTCATTCTTTTTAAGCATTACTGACATATAGAGAGTGAGAATTTAAATTCTATGCCTCACTGAGAGAAAACAACTTTTTTTGTATGTGTACTCATGATTGAACCTAGGATACTCTATGTCGGAATTATATTCCCAGCCCTATTTTATTTTGGTGATAGGGTCTTACTGAGTTGCTCAGGCCGACATCATACTTGTGATCCTTCTACTTGATATCCAGTCTTCTGGGTATCTGGGATTACAGGAGTGTGACATCATGCCCAGCAAGAAAACATTATTAATAGTTTGGTGTTTGTGCTTCCAAATATTTTCTCAAGTTGGAATATATATATATATATATATATATATATATATTTTTTTTTTCCTTCCCTAAAGCATGCTTTTTAATCATGTACTATACTTTAACTTCCCCCCACCTCTAGTTCTATTAGGATCAAACTGAAGGTCTATACATGCTGGGCAAGAGCTCCCCCACTAAGCTATACCGCCAGCACTATTACTCTTTGACTATTGATTTATATTTGGGTTATTTCCAGTTTTTTTTCCCTTATAATCAATAGCAGTGGAACTCTTTGTACATGGACTTTTTTGCATATATGCAAGTGATTTTTTTTGATAGATTCCTAAGAGTGGAATTGCTGAATCAAAAGATACTTCACTTAAAATTCTAATATTTGTGATTCAGTTGTCTCTTAAAAGCTTTTAGAAATATACATCCTCCCAACTTTATAAGAAAGCAGCAATTATTTCCCAAAGCTCTGATCAACATGAGTCTTTCCCCTACTTTTGGCAATCTGATGGTATGTCATTGCTCCAATTTGCATTTCTCTAATAAAAATGTAGGGTATGTATAGGCCATTTGCTTCTTTTATGATTACCCTTTCAGTCTTTGCTTGGTTTTCATTTTAGTTATTTTTTTATTGCTTGAAGATATATGTTTAAAATATCCTTTGTTCAATATATTGAAGATATTGTCCCTAGTCCATCATTTATGTATTGTTTCTAGCATCTTTGGTCAAATAGAAATTTTCTGTTTTAAATAGTCAAATTTGTGTTAATTTTCCTTCATAATTTTTGGATTTTATGCCTTATTTTAGAAAAGTCTTCTTTTATTCTAAGATTATAAGCAGCTTTTGCCATATTTTAATTTTTAGTTTAAGAAAGTATCTAGCTCTTCATTCAGTTTTGAGTTATTTGTATATAAAGGGTGAGACTATAACCCTTTACCCCCCATGAATATAAAATGATTCCAATACTGTTTATTGAATAGTGTTTATCCCTTTCAATATTAATTTCAAATTTTTATTATGTTATTAATTCCCATATATAGATGCATATGTTTTTTGTAGTTTGTTATCATTCTGTTGATTTGTTTATTTCTACATTATCACCATACTATTATGATATTTGATAAGGAAAATCCTTCCTTAACTCTTTTTTTTTTTCAAAAAATGTTTTAACTAATTACAGCATTTACTTTTCCAAAAGAACATTATAATCTAATAAAACTTATCTTAATGATTGTTATATGAAATTTCACACCTTTGATTTTATTTTTATATGTAATTTTTCATTCAATAATCTTTATCTTTTTTCCACTCATATTTCAGAGTTCTGTGTGTGGAAACTCAAATGAGACAGTTCAGCCTAGAAGGGTAGTAATTTCTCATAATATGGATAAAGCTCTGAAAGAAGGTAAGAATTAAGGTAAGGTAAGGCAATCTGATGGTATGTCATTGCTCCAATTTGCATTTCTCTAATAAAAATGTCATGTATTTTTACATATGTGTATGGGCCATCTGTTTCTTTTATGATTACCCTTTCAGTCTTTGCTTGGTTTTCATTTTAGTTATTTTTTTCTTGCTTGAAGATATATGTTTAAAATAGTCCTTTGTTCAGTATGTTGAATATGTAAGGATAGTTACTACATAAAGCAATTCATTATGTTTTAAAAGGAACATAATAATCTAGCAAATTAATCTATCCTTCTTTCCTATAGCATTAGGAATTTTTCTTCATAGTTTATATTTGATGATTAAATAAATGCATTCATATTTTGGTTGAATGAAAGGGATCACAGGAGGTTAGCAGCCAGTCAAGTGGAGCTTCTTCTGCCATAGAAAGCACAGATCTTTGTTCCCTAAAATAAGGATCAGGAAATTATTTTTTCTTCTAGGTATAACTTACAGAAGGTATGTTAGGGATAAATAGACACAGTCTCACTCATGGGCAAACCATTAACCAAATTAATTGATAGCAGTTAGTCTTACATAAGAATGAAGAGAACATATAAGTGAAGCTTATATTAACAGGGTGTCACTTTTGGGGGGTTTCCTGTGTTATTTTTGATCCTATGCTGAACAACGTGAATGCTATTTTTTAAACACTCTAGATTCTTTTATCTTCCTCTGAAAAATGTTGGTTTTTATTTTAATATTCAGTTTAGCTATTGACTGGTCACCTTGGAGACAGTTGATTTCATACATTTTTGGGGGGCTGGATACGTTTGGATTTTGTCTTTAGTCCAAGGTGAATCCTTTCGTCCCAGCAGTCAGTTGTGAGTCTCAGTGGGAGACAGTGGTTGGAGTTATCTGCTAGGCTCTTCAGTCCTCCTGCCCTTGCTTTCCACTGCCCTACGGGGGTAGCCAGACTTAGCAATGGGTTTGAGGATTTGTACCTAGTTATTGTATCTCCATCCTTTTTTGTTTTTTTTCCTGCCTATATTTTCATCTTTACTGGCAACTCCTATTTTCTGTTATCTGTATCTTAAATGATAAGATATAATAATTCTGATTATGGTATATTTAATAATAATAATAATAATAATTATAATAACAACAATTATAAAATGCAATCATTCTGAGTTCAGACTACCTTATGCCTCTAACAATGCGGTTGCCTTTAGGGGAAAGCATTAAACCACTACTCAAAGAAAAGACCACTGACTCCAACTTTAAATCAAATAAAAGCAAGCTTATAATTCTGACTGGCTGGGACTGTACCACCCAAAACCCGTGGGAATAGAAGACAGGCCTCTAGCTCTCTAGGAGCGCAGCTTTATAGCACAGAAAGTTGCAAAAAAGGTGGCGGGGGGGGGGGGGGGTGCGGGGTATCTTGAGAACTTACAGATAACAGGATTTTGATAAGCATAATACAAAGGCAGGTAGTAGGTTAATGGTCTAAATGGTTCAGCACTTAGGGAGTAAATTTAGATCCCAACATCAGAATTTATGAGGCGCCATTAGGGTTTCAGAGAGGGTTGTTATCTGGCCAGGGAAAGCCAGAATTTATGAGGCGCCACTAAGGTTTCAGAGAGGGTTGTTATCTGGTCAGGGAAAGCCAGGCATGGGTGAGTTCAAGGCAAGGGCAGGCATTCCAAGTAAGTTTAAAACATCAAAATATGGCCAGGCCAAATAGAAATCCTACTATTTTACAGAAAACAGAAACGAATCTTATAACTTGTGGCTCCTGATCTTAAAAGGGAATCAGGCTGGGTTTATCAAAACTTGTACAGAAACATATCTTATTCAGTACCATTCCCTTCTTTCAAGGGTAGATTCCTCTCCAGTGCCTTTAAATAATTCTTTGATGTTTTTTCCAGAGTTCCTAATTGTATTTTACTGTAAGAAGGTTAGTCTGATATAAGCTATTCCAACAACTCTGAAACTGGAACTTTATCCTTAATTAAAAAAAAAAAAGTTAATGGTATGATTGTGTTTTAATGTTTCTTTCCTTTTTAAGGCTGAATAATATTCCATTGTATATATGTACCACATTTGTTTATCCATTCCTCCATTAGTGGACGATGGGGTTGATTCCATATTTTGGCTTTTGTGAATGATGCTGCCACAAATATGGTATTTTTAATTTTTAAGACTTAGAAATTTCTGTGCACTTGGACATAACCTTTTCTATTGGATGGACCAGTTTGTTCTAGTAGTATTTATTAAAAAAAAAAAAAAAAAAAAAAAAAGGAAAAGAGCTTCAGCCTAGGTGACAGAAAGGAAAAACACATTGCTCTTAAGCTAATTTCTGTGCAGTGATTTCTTTTTAGAGGAAAATATTATCCAAAGCCTTTGGATAAGAGCTTTAGTTAATTACATTTTAGTATAGTTTTTTTTTTTTTAAAAAAAACCACATTTCTTAATATTCAGATTTCCTGTCCTTTGTTTTAAGTAAAATGATTTTCAGGGAAGTTGAGCATTGTATGATGTACCTAAAAGAAAGCCATACGCTGATTGTTGGAATAAACTTTATCTATTTGACAATAGTTATTAGTCAACAAAAACCCAGCCAAAACTAGAATCACCTTCTAAAAATTTTGCCATTAAAATAGTGGGGAATTAGAATCTAGAAATGTGTGTTGCCAAAGCTAAGAGGTTTCATAAGCATTTAGAAAACCCACAGTGATTGTAATTTGCATATCTGGAGTATTTAATTTACATTTCTAAATCTCGGCACCAGTATGTTTAACTGGAATTCAGGATATTATTAGCTAGCTATAACAGACTTAGTGTTGATAAAATTGAGAGTCTCTGTGTGTTTTCAAAACTTAAGTAACTGTACACTTGTTCAGGCTTTGGCTATTTCAATGCAGTTGATTTGAATTGCTCATGAAGTATTTATTTAAAAATTTCATCCTAAAGTTAATTTCAACTAGATGATAATATTATACCATTTTATCTTTATATATTTACTTTATTGCTTTTGGAATATATAATTTAAAAACAGATTTGTTCAAGGAGTCCTGAGTAAAATATAAAGCATATGTGCGTATGTTTCTGCACAGACATGTTTTACATTGTGTACGTGGATTTTTTTGTTACTCAAGTGTTTCTGATGTAGCTCAGTTTAAGTCTGGGTTTATTTTGAGTCTAAAGATTGAATTACAAGAAGAAAGAAGTAACAGTCAAAAATACAGAGTAAATAATATAGTTAGGCTTTATGAGAACAATAAGAATTATGCTACAAATGCTGGAAGTTAAATGGGATACTTGGGAAAGACGATCAGAGCATATTATTATTGTTATCCAGTTTAAAATCTAAAAACTATATATTTAGGGGTTCTGATATAATGTGAATGAACTACATGTCTATTTGAGAAGTCAGAACAGTTACTATTCTATACCAAATACCTTTAAAAGTTTCTCCTTAGAATTACATTTCCTGGGCTGGGGTTGTGGCTTATCGGTAGAGCGCTGGCCTAGCACGTGTGAGGCCATGGGTTCAATCCTCAGTACCACATAAGAATGAATAAATAAAATAAAGGTATTGTGCCCAACTATAGCTAAAAAAATAAATAAATATTTTAAAAAATATATTACATATCCTGGAAAGCAGACAGAGGATGGGGTTGGGAGAAGGACTTCTAAAATTATTTTTGATTTACTATTAAATTTTATTAGATCTGTTGCCTAATTTTCTAGGTTACTCTGAATTATCTCAAAAATGTGGCCCAGGTTATTTAATTCCATAATTATTGAGTACTTGCCATTTTCTTGGTATAGTTTCCGAATGTTAAATTGAAAAAATATATATATATATACACACACACACACACACACACATATATATTCAATATATATGTGTGTATGTATATATATTTTTTTCATTCTGGTGATTAAACCCCAGGGTGTTTTACCACTGAGCTATGTCCCAGCCCTTTTTATTTTAGTTTTTAAAAATTGTTAAAAATATTTTTATTAGTTGTTGATGGACCCTTTTTTCCCCCTAATTTACTTATGAATATGTGGCACTGAGAATCAAACCCAGTGCCTCACACATGCTAGGTAAGCACTCTACCACTGATCCACAACCCCACCCCTATTTTTTTTAAATTTTGAGAAGGGTCTCAGTTTCTGAGGATCTCACCACATTTCTGACATATGTCTTATACTTGTAATCCTCTTGCCTTAGCCTCCCAAGTCACTGGGATTATAGGTTTGTACCAACACACCAGGCTAAATTGAAAATTCTTGAATTGGACATATAGTTCTTTCTAAGATTTTATCCTTTTCAAAGTATTGGGGATGCTGACCTAGTCTTTTGTCTTGTAAGACACTGCCTAAAAGTCTTAGACATATCATTATTTTATTATTTCTTGTGGTTGTCTTCACTTTGAAATTACTTTTACATGTATACTTCAAGAGTGAATATATTTCTGTTAGTTTTGATTGACTTTTTAAAATTTAAATTTAAATTTTTATTTTTTTTTTTTGATTGACTCAATGCTTTGCTGTTCATTTTTGTGGTACTAGCGTTCAAACCTATGGCCTTACATGTGCTAGGCAAGCTCTCTGCCACTTTGCTAAATCCCTGGCCCATTAATTGTTTTCTTTTTTAAAATTTTAGTGGTAAATATGCCTGTTAGTAAATTATCTAGGTTATGCAAAGGGCCACAACTTGAAAATGATCATGATAGCAGAAGATATAGGAAGGTCATTGTCCACGTGTAACAGAACTTTTGGTTTCTTTGAAATAGGTCTTAGATAAGGCAAACCTGATGTAGTAATCATTTTTTACTAGACTCCCCTTGTGGCTATTCTAGAGGATGTTAGGCTGTCTGAGAATTAAATGGTGACACAGAGGAAAGTAGGGCTTGCACCTAAAAGATGATGACTTCTTACACCCCTTTAAGGCTTGACTCATGCAGTTCATGAACTTTTTTTTAACCCAGTGGTATGCAATGTATATACAGCTTTTCGTTTAATGAATATAAATAGATCAGTCAATTGTATTAGTATAAACTAGTAGCCCCAGATCTTCCCAAATATGACTTTACATTGTATTTTAAAACTTTTAGGGGCTGGAGGTAGAGCTTAGTGGTAGAGCAAAACCTGATATGCCCAAGACTCTGGGTTGGATCCCCAGCATTAAAAATAAAACAAAAGCAAAAATACTTTAATACTTTGTGTAAATCATAAAGGAAGCCAGGCATGGTGGCTCAGGCCTGTAATCCAGCAACTTGGGAGGCTGAGGCAGAAGGATCACAGCTTTGAGGCCATCCTGGGCAGTTGAGTGAGACCCTTTCTCAAAATATAATAATAATTTTAAAAAGGTGGTAGAGCATCACTGGATTCAGTCCCCAGTACTACAAAAACAACCAACCAACCCTAAAGGACTATCTACTTGAGCAGAAGAATTATTGTTGTCTTTATCATTATCATCAAACCAGTTTCTGGTTGAAGGAGTATTATTACTTTGTTCCAGGAGACCAGACCATGAATGTTTCTGCACTATGGGGTGAAACCTCATGGACAGAGCAGACCATATCTCTGAATTGTTCTGGGGAAAGATAAGGGTAAAAAGAAAGAAATAGTGGGAGAGAGAGAGGGAAAAAAAAGGACCTTCTTAGAGCTTTCTCTTTTATACTATTTACTTCACTTGAGTCATTCCTTATTTGGAAAATTTATAGTTAGAGATTACCTGATATCACATTATCTAGACTAAGTATCTTTTTAACTTGGTCTCATCATTGCTAGTTTTACTTTGTTACCTTAAATCTTTTCAGATTAACCTAACTAAAGTTCCAATCATGTTACTTTATTTTCTGTAATCTCCAGGGATATCCCTTTTAACTACTTATTTCTTTGACAGTAATCTTAGAAAATAGATGTATTGGGGTGATAATAGCATCTGAATTTTTGTTGGCTATTACTTTGTCTTTAAAATAAAGACTTTTCCCAGCAGTGAGAAGTGCTCTTTTACTTCTCATTGTGATTATACATGTATTTATGTTTATTTCTTAGTAAAGTCCATAAAATGATTTTATCATGAACTTCTGTCTCCTTGAATTGATTTATAGGCTATGTCTTAAAATACACTGTTCATATGTGTACTTGTGTAAATGAGTCTGTATCATTATATGATATGTGTATTTGAACTCATGGCTTTGTTTTGTACTGTTATTTTTGAGTTACATATTTATTCATGATACTTGACTGAAGAGTGATAATCAGCTAGAAATAGAAGATGCACCTGTGGTTAAAATGTATCTCTATTACTACGTACAAATTTAGGCCAGTATTAATTTTTATCCATTCTTAACCAAAATGTTACCGGAGGAGTGTTTTAGAATTATCTTAATTAGCATAAGCAATGTGCTTAATAAATGTAATGAGACATTATAGAGGTGATATGCCTTTCACAATAGGCCTTAAGCACCCTCAATATGATCTTATTTTAAAGATATTGTCTCATCATTATTCTTAATTTCCTGTCATATTTTGAAAATAAATTATAATGAAAAGGAAAAATGTTTCTATTTTCCAGTTGTTTTGGGCTGCAGATTCATTGAGTACTAGTCAAAAATTCTGTGGCATGAAAACCTACAGTTAAAAAAAAAAGCAAGGGAGAAAGTTGCAAATTAACAAATGAGCAGGGTTTGTTGGAAAGGTAGCGCTTATACTCTTATTAGTTGGCACTGAGACTGAAGAAAGCTATAGAGGCCTTACAAAAAGAGCCTTTGGAGGTTATCGAATGCAGCCCACCATTTTAGGATGTCATGTTTTTCTATGTCATCCTTGTCTACTAGGTATCTAGCTTAAGAATTTATGATGGAATGGTCACCGTCCAATATGGCCACTTCTGGAACAGTTTCAGTGTTTTTATTCAGTTCCTCCTTATTTTGCCCTGCAAAAGCAGCTTACTCATGACTTGTACCCATTTGTCCTATTTGTAGTTTCTAGAACAACTTTATAAAGTAGAGCCTTTTGCGTGGGCGCGCGCACACACACACATACACATATATATTTTTTCATAAACATATGGTTTTAAACAAGATGGATATTCATTGTGCAAGGATGCTATTTCAGATTTTTCTTATCTTTTACTCATGTGATTTACTTTGTTCTACTTATGTGTAGGACTACAGAGTGCTGAGTAGAAAGATGTTTTACTGACAGGAAACTTGTCACTGCCTTCCTCAAGTTATTTCACATCTTTGAGCCTAAGTTTCCTAAAGGGATGAAACACAATTACTGTGTAGGAACCATAGTCTATTTGTTGCCAAAAATAAGATTATAGGATTGACCCATTCCTGGTTTTTGCCATAATTTCTTACATCTAGGTCAGAAACCATATCTGCTTTCTTCTTAATGGAATAGTCCAATTAGTAATGAGATAGGACAATTTTTTATAAAATCTAGAAAACATAACTGCCATTTATTCAAAGTAATATCTGGAAGTCAACATAAAAGGACTGAGAGTGCTAGGAGATGATTTGTTTGTTTTGCTTTTATATGCCTTTTCTTTCATATTCAGTGGTTCATGATGTGGATATTGATACCACCTTACAAACTGGAAGGTTTCTGTAAATATTTGTTTAAAGAACAGTTAAAAGATTAAGGCAAGATATTTTTTTCTGACTCTGGCAGGTCATTGTTCTCAGCCAGAAGGCACAATTATCCTACTATAACTGAAGCTGTGGATTTGCTGTAAATTTAAACCTTTCTCCATGCATGTGAACAAAATTCTTGATTCTCTATAATGATTTTGAATGAGATGTAAGATACTATTTTGTAAAGTATTATAAAACTGAATTAAGAAATTCGGAAATGCGAAAAGCATTGGATTGACTTTCATGGTTGATGTTTCAAGAAAAAAAATCCCAGAATATTAAAACAAGAATAGTGTTTCCTTGGGCCTATGGGCATCATATTGGGTAAATACTGATCCTGAACTCAAGGTTCTAGTTACCTTTTAGTTTTCTAAGAAATATGACTCACGATGTTCCCTTTCACTCTGTCCTTCTAAAAAACCGACCCAAATTTATTATTTTTAAGTCTCTCAATTGGTAAAAATATAGTGGCCAAGAGAAATAACATGACTATCAAATACCAGACTCAAAACTTATTTGAGAATTTCAGATTAGTCCTTTGTGTACCAGGTGTAAAATAAATCACAAGTTATGTTTTGTTCTTAAGGATTTCTGGGGATGAAATGCTGTACAGACAAGCAAAGAAAAGCAGGAGGATAAATTCATCACTTTAAATAATACATAGATTCATCTGAAATTAAGCCAAATCAAGAAGTATTTGAAAATGAAAAATAAATTGAGAAATAAGTGATTTTAAAAAAATTTATCCTGGTATTCTTGAACCTGGGTTAGGATTGTGTAACCAAATGTTAGTTTCTTCCTTTGGGCACTTGGAGGTGTCATAACTTGAGACTGGTAGCATTTTATTTTTCAAAAGACATAGTTTCTTGGGGTTGGGGCTGGGGCTCAGTGGTAGAGTGCCTGCCTAGCATGTGGAAGCCCTAGGTTTGATCCTTAGCACCACATAAAAATAAATCAGTCAAATAAAGGTATTGTGTCCATCTGCAACTAAAAATATTGAAAAAAAATAGTGTCTTGCAAAGGTCACATTGACTTTTTTCTCCCTAATGGACTATAGATATACTATCCAGACCTATATATAGATATACTACACAGACCTATATGTGGCTGTTGAACACCAAAAGTGTGGCCAGTCCAATTTGAAATTACTGAAAGTGTAGAGTATACACCAGATTACAAATCTTAGCATGAAAAATATTTCATTTTTAGATATATATTTTTAAATATTACCTATTGGAATAATATTTTGAATATATTGTGTGAAATGAAATTTTATTAAAATGAATGCCACCTTTTAAATTTTCTAATGTGGTTACTAGAAAAGTTAAAATTACAAACATGGGTCTCATGTTTATATTAGCTGACACTATTCTAGAGCGAGGGCTCTCTAATTTTGAGGCATAGGATTGATTCAGAATTAAGAAAATTAAATATCTTCCAATGAAGGTGACAGGCCACACTTGCTGAACCTAATATGAAATCTGGCACTCATATGTGGGATTCATTCTACATTTGTTGAGGTATTAGGGGACAAACCATACTGTAACTGAGCAGGGAAGGTTAAATATAAAGAATCATTACCTTATAACATGGAATTAACTATTAATAATGTTAATTATTAACATTAAAATAGTTTAATATTAACTATTAAAAGTAAAAAGAATTCTAAGGATATAGGAAGACCAAATAATGCGAGCAGCCACTATCTCTAGGTACTGAGGAAAAGCATTGTAGAATGGAATAAATTTGGAAGAAGTGTTTTTCATCCTGTGGTGAAGGCCCAGGCCTTATTAGAAAGACCACAATTTTGGCTATATGAAGAGAGAGAAGTTTGGGGCAATACCAAAAGCTGGGGGAAAAAATGTGTTGTCACTGTGTTAAAATGCTTTTTGTTCTTTCTTTCTTTGATTGTTATATAAATTTTAAGTAGTGTGGAACCAAGATCAAATATTTTAAGATTAGATTATGTTAGAAAGTCTAGACATGTGATGAGTATACACAACATATCAGAATCTTTCATTTTAAAATATCTGTCTTCTCTTGACTTCTGTTTTCTCTTTACTTTTTAAACAGTATTAAAAATGGGTAGCCAATTTGCAGTAGAAATGCTTTATTGCTTTTGCTTCTTTCATCTAAGTTTTCCTTACTGCTTTGTTTATTCCTGGGTAGTGTTTGACTACAGTTACAGAGATTACATTCTCTCCTGGTATGGAAATCTCAGCAGAGATGAGGGGCAGCTTTACAATCTGCTTTCGGAAGACTTTTGGGAAATTGCCAGACAGCTGCGACACAGATTGAGTCACGTGGATGTGGTTAAAGTTGTCTGCAATGATGTTGTAAGAACTTTACTCACTCATTTCTGTGACCTGAAAGCTGCTAATACCAGGTAACTGATAACATGAGCAACCCACTCCCCTTTTCCACATCAAAAAGATTTTTCTTGAATAATAAAGTCAAGCCATACTACAGAATATTCTGCCTCTTGCTGGCACTTGAGTTGAAAAAGCAGATGTTTTGAGGGGGAATAATTATAGTGTTCTGATAGAGTAGATTTGGGGGATAATTTTCTAATAGGTGTATTTAATTTTGTAAACAACTTAAATAGTGAAATAAATATCACTGAACCAGTATCATGATGAACTTACTTATGGTATTATAAATATCTAAGCATAGAAAATTTTAAATATTTTAAAATGTGATCAGTGTCAATGAGTTTATAAATTTTGGAAAAATGTGAATATTGTTCATTTTATTTTTGTGACTCCTATGTTAACAGCTGAATTGCAGCATAATATCCTGAAAACTGACTTTTAAAGGAACTTAAATTTGGAGCTGCAGTCTCTAATTAGATAATTTGTTTCATTATGAAAATAGCTAATATATAGGTTTGTTAGCCTCTTTTGCTATTATGTTGAAAAGATCTATCTGTACCTATTAGATGAGAAGGTGAGAACCTGCCCATGAAAGAAGACTTCAACAAGACCATTTCTGTGCAAATAACAAATTCAGGTTTGCTGATAGGATCTTAAATTTATATCTTATTTAAATTTATATCTTATGCTTGAATAAGTGCAAGGATAATGCATTATAGCACTTCTAACTTGCTTATAAATATGAAACAAATAGCCTTGTGCTTGCTTGGGTGTGAACTTGTTTGCAGTAGGAATGTAATTACCTGTAGTTAATATGGCCTAGTCTTACTTTCAGAGAAGAGATAAAATATTGAAAGTATACAAGGAGAAGAGTCAGCATCAGCATCCTTATTGGGCAGGTGGTAATTCACATTTTCTTCTCAGAAGCTCTGTTGTTTGACTTTATCAGAATCAGTTCCTGTTCTATCCTGTGATGTTGCCCTTGTAGTGGGACCTGGTTGCTAAATGTGGTTGTGCAGCAGGTCTTTATGTTCAAATTCCAGAGGAATTACATGCCTACTCTTTTTCAGCTTGCTGCCCTCATGTTTTACAAACTTTAATCATAATGCATAGTGAGAAATAAATTTTAAATTGTGGCACACTTTTATGAAATGGTGCTGTTATTACCAGTGATAGCTTTGGTGTCATTTGTTCTTGACACTTTTTGAAAATGCTGTTTGAGATCAATTCAGTTTTATTGTGTTACTTCTTGGTCATGACCTGTGGTTTGAAAAACATTACTGTAGAGCATGGCTCTCAGATTTTTTGGCCTCAGGATTTTTCAACAATCTTAAAAGCTATTGAGAACCTCAAAGTGCTTTCATTTATGTGGGTCATATCTAATGGCCTGCTGGAGCCAACTACTGGCATGCAAGAGCTGATTGTGCACATCTCTTCCTGACTCTGAGTTCAGTGAAGTCCTTTTGTTGCCTTGGAATCAACTGTTTACACAGTGGGATGTTTTAAATCAGAATTTTTTCCCATGGAGAAACAGTTGTTAAACATTTACCAGCACCACTCAACATATCTATTAATATTTACCACATTAGATATTAAAACCAAGAACTTTTTAAAGTACAAGAGGATACCGTACACTTTCTATTTGTTATCAGAATGATGATGTCATTGCACATCATACAGCCTCTGGAAAATTCCAGTACACTTGTGAGAATATGAGTGAAAAATAAAAAGGCATTTTTATATTCCTATGCATATAATTTTGATATCCTAGAACTAAGGGTTCTTGAGACATGTAGAAGTCTCTGGACCACTCTTTTAAACCAGTGTTTGTAAGTAAAGATAACTTTCAATAGGGGGGTCGTGTTCACTGATAAGGAAAATGAGAGAAATTGGACTCTTGGGTCATTCCCCTAGAATATCAGTGGCTTCCACCTCTCCTTTTGAAGTGTTCATCAATCCTTTGGAGCACCTGCTATATAGTACCCACTACATAATTATGCCAGACAGATGTTATAAAAGACTTCTTTGAATTCAGTGGAAGCACATTTCAAAGTAATTAATTGTAGTCCAATAGAGGACAGTATTTTAAATCAATGTTTATGCCACTTAGAAGAACGGTAGATATGAGGTTAGGGCAAGTGTTTCAAGACATTTATTGTGGCCTGCGACCCACCAGCAGAAGAGGAGCAGCAGCCTGCTGAGAGGCAGAGCCGCCCCCTCCCCCTGCGCCGGCAAGGTAGAGGGAACTGTGACCACCCACAGAGCAGGCCCAGCAGCCTGCTGAGGGGCAGAGCCGCCCCCCATCCCCCGCGCCTGCCAGGTAGGCGGAACTGTGACCACTGACAGAAAAGGCCCAATGGCCCGCGGCAGGACAGAGCTTCCAACCACTCCTGCAAGGTAGGCGGGCCTGCAACCCACCGGAAGAAGAGGAGCACCGGCCTGCTGAGAGGCAGAGCCGCCCCCCACCCCCCGCGCCTGCCAGGTAGGCGGAACTGTGACCACCGACAGAAAAGGCCCAGTGGCCCGCGGCGGGACAGAGCTTCCAAGCACTCCTGCAAGGTAGGTGGGCCTGCGACCCACCGGCAGAAGAGGAGCAGCGGCCTGCTGAGAGGCAGAGCCGCCCCCTCCCCCTGCGCCGGCAAGGTAGACAGAACTGTGACCACCCACAGAGCAGGCCCAGCGGCCTGCTGAGGGGCAGAGCCGCCCCCCACCCCCCGCGCCTGCCAGGTAGGCGGAACTGTGACCACCGACAGAAAAGGCCCAGTGGCCCGCGGCGGGACAGAGCTTCCAATCACTCCTGCAAGGTAGGCGGGCCTGCGACCCACCAGAAGAAGAGGAGCACCGGCCTGCTGAGAGGCAGAGCCGCCCCCTCCACCCGCGCCTGCAAGGTAGACGGAACTGTGACCACCATCAGAACAGGCCAGACTTGCAACCGACAGACAGAACAGGCCCAGTGGCTTGAGAAAGGGTAGAGCCGCCCCGCCCCCCGCGCCTGCAAGGTAGGCGGACCTGCGACCCACTGGCAGAACAGCCCCAGAGGCCTGCAGAGGGGCAGTGCCGCTGCCTGCGCCTGCAAAGTAGGCAGAACTGCGACCACCGACAGAACAAGCCTAGCGGCCCGCAGAGGGACAGAGCCGCCGCCCGCGCCTGCAAGGTCGGCGGACCTGCTACCGACCAGCAGAGCAGGCCCAGTGGCCTGCCGGCGTGGTAGGCACATTGCCCCAATTGGAGGAGGGGGCAGAGTCGCCGCCCGAGCCTGCAAGGGAGACTTTGCAACTATACAAGACCAATATAAATATATAGGGGGAAAATTCAATAGCACAACAGTTTCACCAAGTAGAAAGGAACGCGAACAGTATGAAGAGACAAGGAAAGAAAGGACCAAAAGCAATGCAGGTCAACTCAACGTTAGAAGAGGTAATAGCTGCAGCAGATGGAATGTCAGATAAAGAATTCAGGATATACATGCTTCAGATGATCTGGAGTCTCAAGGAAGACATCAGACAGCAAAATCAGACAATGAAAGATCACTTCAACAATGAATTACATAAACAAATCCAAGAAGCAAAAGATCAACTATACAGGGAGATAGAGGTTATAAAAAACAAACAAACAGAAATCCTAGAAATGCAGGAAGCAATAGACCAACTTAAAAACTCAATTGAGAATACTACCAGCAGAGTAGAACACTTAGAAGACAGAACATCAGACAATGAAGATAAAGTATTTCAACTTGAAAAGAACATAGACAGCTCAGCAAGACTGTTAAGAAACCATGATCAGAACATCCAAGAAATATGGGATAACATCAAGAGACCAAATTTAAGAGTCATTGGGATACAGGAAGGGACAGAGTTTCAAACCAAAGGAATGAGCAATCTATTCAATGAAATAATACGAGAAAACTTCCCAGACTTGAAGAATGAGACAGAACCCCAAATCCTAGAAGCCTACAGGACGCCGAATGTGCAAAATCATAAGAGACCCACACCTAGACACATTATAATGAAGATGCCCAACATACAGAATAAGGAGAGAATTTTAAAAGCTACAAGAGAAAGGAAGCAGATCACATTTAGGGGTAAGCCAATCAGGATAACAGCTGATCTTTCCACACAGACTCTGAAAGCTAGAAGATCCTGGAATAACATATTTCAAACACTGAAAGAAAATGGGTTCCAACCAAGAATTGTGTTTCCAGCGAAATTAAGCTTCAGGATGGAAGATGAAATTAAAACCTTCCACGATAAACAAAAGTTAAAAGAATTTGCAGCTAGAAAACCATCTCTTCTAAACATCCTTGGCAAAACATTACAGGAAGAGGAAATGGAAAATAACAATGAAAACCAACAGTGGGAGGTAGGACAGTAAAGGGGGGGAAAATAATCAAAGAGGAAAACAAACCATGTTTAGTAACATAAATAAACAAATATGGCTGGAAGAACAACCCATATCTCAATAATAACCCTAAATGTTAATGGCTTAAACTCACCAATCAAGAGACACAGGCTAGTAGAATGGATCACAAAACAAGACCCAACAATATGCTGCCTACAGGAGACGCATTTGATAGGAAAAGACATACATAGGCTGAAGGTGAAAGGTTGGGAAAAATCATATCACTCATATGGACTTCGGAAACAAGCAGGAGTGTCCATACTCATATCAAATAAAATAGATTTCAAGCCAAAGTTAATCAAAAGGGATAAAGAGGGACACTACATACTGTTTAAGGGAACCATACACCAACAAGACATAACAATCATAAATATATATGCCCCAAACAATGGTGCAGCTATGTTCATCAAACAAACTCTTCTCAAGTTCAAGAGTCTAATAGACCACCATACAATAATCATGGGAGACTTCAACACACCTCTCTTGCCACTGGACAGATCTTCCAAACAAAAGTTGAATAAGGAAACTATAGAAGTCAATAACACAATTAATAACCTAGACTTAATTGACATATATAGAATATACCACCCAACATCATGCAGTTACACTTTTTTCT